TGAAGAGAGGAAGGGTTCCCAGCCCCCAGAGCCGTCTGCCCTGACCACAGTTGTAATAGGAGCCAGGGCTGCTTTGTTTCCCTCTGGGGCTTCCCTAGGAATTCCCAAAAGTGAGCCAAGAACGTTGGACAAAGGGCATCGGGAACCAGCTCTGGCCCAAGCAAAGCCCTGCAGAGGGGGCAGCAGGTATGGACTTCCCACCAGGGCTGGTGCCCGGAGAGAGAAGGCAGAGCGTCACGGGCGGACCGGGAACTCCCAGGCACAGAGGCAGGGCGGGCTGGCCTCCCGCCTTGAAGGCTGCGCTTGGAAACCCTCCATCACCCCCGTGGGGTTCTCCAGCAAAGCGCCTGGCGCAAGGGCCCACATCCTGGTTCTCTCTCAACCCTGAATGGGAGGCGGTGGGGCACCAGGGGGCTTGTCAAGGCTCAAATTCTCCATAACTGTTTCTACAAAGGCTTCCCCCTCCTGCCTCTCACACCTCGCCCTTGGGAGGAGAGCGGCTCGCTGGAGCCCCAGAGCCCTGCGTGCTGACCCGCTCAGCCAGATACCCTCTCCCTCCGCAGCTGGTGCCTATGGATGAGCAGATGGACAGACAGCCTCTGGACAGGCAGCCTCGGGAGTGGGAAGAGCAGGAGGGAACCTACTGCTTGGGCCGGTGACTCAGACAGGAGGAATGGAAGCGGCTGCCCTGGAGGGCGGGGCTGGGGCAGGCTACCCGCTGAGCCAAGCCGCCGGAGCCCTGGCCTGCCGAGTGGAAAGGGCAACAGAGCGCAGGCAGCGCCGGGGCCACGGGTGACGCCAAGGTGTGTACTTTATACTCAAGGAAGGCGGAGGGCGAGAGCGGACGTCATCTTCCCAGATGCCTGCCATTTCCACCAGGCCTTGGCTTCACCCGGGCTGCCTCCCAAGCCAATCCCCACTCAGCCACTCTGGCTGGGAAGGGCCGGCCCAGACCCTCTGGCCTGTGCCCGCTTCTGGCTTCCCGGCACCTACAGCAACAGAGCGCCTGTCCCCCACTTTACTCTAGCTCTGTCTCCCCTAACTCTTCCACCCAGGACAAAAGCACGTGGTCGGGGAGGGAAGGCCGTGCTGGCAGATACCTGCTGAGCCCCAGAATCTGAAAGGTTAGGTCTGCCCAGACACTCATCCCTCTTCCAGCCAGAGTAAAACCCCCTCAGAAAACGGAGGCCCAAGGGGGGAAGGGCCCTCCTGATGTCGCAGTCCAGGCCATGACTGGCCGTACCCACCAATGGCCCCGAACCCCAACTCCCACCACTCCAAGCCCCACTGATCCACCCTCTACCCATCCTGGGGGCTCTGAATTTATCCAAGAACCCTAAGGGCACCCTTCTTTATGGCCAAGTTTCTTCCCAGGAGAAGGCCAGCTGTTCTGGCTGCTCTGTCCCTGCTGCAGCATGTCCCACCCCTGGAGGCACACCCCCAACCCCAGCCCTTCCGCCTGGGCAGCCTGAATGGATACAATGGTCGGCACAGGGGGCTCAGGGCCAGAGCAGACCCCAGCCAAGCCTGCCCACTCTCTGTCAAGGCCAGAATTGTCTCCCAAGGCTGGAAGAGTGCGCAGACGCATCAGCATCACAGCCTCGGACCCCTCCCTGCCCTGGGAGGACAGAGAAAGGAGGGAAAAGGGAGGAGACGGACCCTAGGCCCGGCCAGACCCCCCGCCCACTGCCTGGCACAGGGCGAGTGGAGGGAGGCACCCACTCTCAGGCGCTCTGGCGGCTGGCTGGCTGTGGGCTCCCTCCCACACTGACCTTCAGAGAGATCCGCTCCTGCCTCCCGCCCCCTCAGCGGCCCCTGCACGCACTGGCTGGTGCTACAGTAACTTTTGAGTGAAGGACTTCTTGGGCTGGCAGAACAAAGGCTGTGTGCCTACGCCAGGGAGCTGGGACAGAGCTCTCAGGAGCAGGGCTGCCTGGCGGGGCCACCCCCCTTCCTAACGCAGGTGAGAGCTGCTGCCCTGAGCTGAGCCCCGGGAGACTTTGCAGCCCGAGGCTGTGCACTGGTCCCAAGGCCATCAAGAGCCCGTCTGGGTTGGCCTCCCTGAAGACCCCCAAACCCTCCTGGCTCTGCCCTCCTGCTGAAGCACTTCCTAGACTCTGTAGCCCAACACAAACTGCAGGACGGACAGGGTTTCTGAGAGAAGTGCAGTGATCCTGAGCCTGCCCTCCACTCCTACCTGGGACAGGGCCCAAAGGCCAGGTCCGTGAGGGGTGGTATGTAGGTAGACAGGGCTTCTTCATCCTACCTCCAAAGCCTGGGGAGCTGTTCCCCCACCTTCGCCTTAGCTACAGAAGTCCCTGTAGCCAGGAGTCTGGGTTGGAAGGGCAAGAGAGCCATGCCTGGAGGCTCTAGGACACCAGGAATCCAGGACTAAGTGCATCCTCTGGGATGCTCTCCAAGTTTTGGGAGGGCTACTGTCTGAGGCCCCCTGAAGCTGCTGGCCCTCCCTATCTCCAAAGGAAAAGAGGAAATGCCTGATTCTGGGGTGTGGGACTGTGCGCTGGAGCTTCCAGAACTACCCCCCCCCACTCCTCCTCTGTGTCTCTGACAACCTCCCCCCACTCTTCCCTACCACACTCCTTCTAGGGCAATACCCCAGCCTCCGCACACACAAAGAAGGATGACATCCCTCCCCCATTAATCAGAGACACCCCAGTCCCCTGGGGAAGGGAAGGTTACAAAAGAGAAGGGACAGAGTCTGAGGTAGTGGCTACAGGGACAGGGGCCTGGCTTCCCAAGAGGATTCTGTTAGACTGGGCAAGACTTTCTGGATTTTCTCCCTGGCAACTCCAGGCATCTTGGCCCTAGACCACCAGGACAGGAGGGGCAAACACCTGGAGTTCAGCGATGGCTGTAAGAAGCCCCTTCCCAGCACATCTGGTCAGACCTCCCAGAGAAGGGGTGGGCCACCAGCCCCAATGGAAACAGTGACGCTCCTAGTTCTCCCGCCAGTCAGGCCTCAGCACACCTGGGCCTTACTTCCTGTGAGTACATCCTAACCAGGCCCAGGCCTGGCCCAGCAGCCTGCTCACCAGCCAGGTCCCTGACTGCAGTGTGGACTGGATAAAGCAGTGTGCGTGGCACACCCCCGACCCTGGCCAGGCTGGGTCCACTGGGCACTGGGGTCCAGCACACTGGCCATTTTCTCCAGGACCAAAACAAGCCCCTGATTATTCTCTTCTCATCCCTCCAGCTGGACTCTACTTCTTGAGGCAAGGTCGACCAATGTCCCACCTCTGGCTCTGCCTCACCCAAAGCCTTCAACTTGGTTCAGTAAACCCAAGCTGATGGAACATGAATTAGCGAGATTTGGGGGGAAGGGCCCTTTTGTGCACCCCTTTCCCACAGGCCCCAGACACATGCCACATAGCAAGCACACACTAGTACGCACAAAGAGAGGGCCCCTGCACTGGGTTCCCAAGCCTCTCTCAGGATGAACTGCTTTCTGGCCACCTCTTATCCCCTAGGAGCCAGAGGATAGGGTGCCCCAAAGAGGGAGACCATCGATGACTCTTCCGCGGCTCTGTTTCGGCCCCCACCCCTGCCCGTCCCCATCTCTCCCTGCCGCATTCCTCCGGTAGTGTCCTCTGTGTCGTCTCCTTCCCTCCTCCCAAATGGACAATGTGGGCCAAAACCTTGGGACTTTCCAGGTGGGCCCTCCCCACCTGGAGGCCCACAGTCAAGTCAGGCACAGGGCAGGTGGAACCACGAGGCCACAGCAGGTCCTGATCCAGCCTTCCTGTTCCTCCCAGCACCTCCTCCCCACCCCCACCGCCAGCTCTGGCAAGCCTAGGTGGGCAGGACTAAGTAAGGCTCTGCTTGGTGGCCCAGAAACAACTCTTCCCATGGATGCCTGTGTTGCATGCCCTGTCCTGCCCTTTCTTTGCTTCCTGACCTGGTTCAAGTCTCTCAAACTCTCCAAGCCTCAGTGTCCCCTTCTGTGAGAAGGGGACAATGACTGTTTTCTTGTCAAAGCCTCTATAAAGATAAAATGAGGAAGCAGACATAGTCCCTGGAGCTGGGTTTCTGAGTCTCAGGCTGTCTCCTCACTCTTCAGAACAGGCTTTGGGTGCAGTCCTAAAGACTAAGAAAAAACAGCGTCCAGCACATGTTATAAGCCGCCGTTGCTGAGCCCATAGCCCCCTCCCAGCCACTTCCCCTCTGCCCCCTGGGCCTGTCAGCTGCTTCCCGCTCTAGTGAGGCACATGGGGGAGACTACCCTAGAAGCCCCTTTCCAGTCCCTGAAATCCGTGCTTTACGGGGAGGGGGTTGTCTCCTCCAACAGATTTTGCCTCCTTTTGTCTGCTATGGAAAACTACTCTTCGCAGGCAGTTCAAAAGACATCAAATACTACAAGATTAATTCCTACATTCACAAAGACCTCTTCACTTAGACTTCTGGTGGAGGGGGCGGCTCACCACCCCCCCCCCCCCCCCGCCCCGCTCCCAGACTCTGCCACTGCTCCTGGAAGATCAGAGGCTGCCTCTCTCTTTCCTTAAGGTTTTAAACCTGGATGAGTCCTCTGACCCAATGGAAAACAGGGAGGGAGGGGAGGTCGTGCAGCGTCCCGTCCCTGGCCGTTTTAAGCCGGCGGGCCGCCGCCCCGCCCGCCCGCGGCTCAGCTTTCGGGTTACTGCAGTTCAAACAGCACGTGCCGCCCGCGCTCGGTGCCGCCGCGGCGGCGGCGCGGCCCTGTGAGGGGGCGGGGAGGCTCGGCTCGCTCCGTGCGCGCTGGCTCGCCTCCTCCTCCGCGCCTCTTCCAGGCGCTCGGGAAATCCACAGGATAAACACCCACTTTCTCTTCCTCTTTATGGGAGGGGGGAGGTGCGCTTTGATCCCTCGCAGCGCCGCCGCTGCTCTCCC